AAAAAGGAAAAGATAAAATTTAAGGTAAAAACGTTTTAAAAATGTAAAAAAAAAAAAAAAAAAAATTACGTACAATGAAAACATTAAACTTTATGGATGAAACTTAACTTTTCTCGTCTTTAAAAGATGCAAACAATATCTCCACATTGTTGATTAAAAGATGGCAAAATGTCAAAGTCTAGTCTAGAGTTGACGAGTGAAACAATTTGTGTTTAAAAAGACATGTGATCCTCCACCACCACCCCCGCACCCACCCCCGCACCCACCCCACATCAAATTTAAAAATAAAATAATAAATAAAACATAATAAAACGGATAGCGAAGAGTGACCCTATCAATTGTTCTGGGCGTGAGATCTAAAGACTGTCAGCCCCCAACCTTCAAAACTAAAATCATGAAATTAAAATAAAAACCTGTTCATTTCAGCTGCCTTTCAGGGCAAGTTTTAGCCCCGCCCCCTTCTTTCGAGATCAAACAAAAACAGACTGCAGTCAGCCAAAATGCCGTCCGGGTGGACGCCGCCCCCCCCCCTTTCCTACGCCAGTGCTTGCTTTTGACGCCACTTTAAGGGCACACAATTCAGTAGCCGCGCCCGCCATTGATTAAAAAGTTAAAAGTCGATAACGTATTTTGATCCCGTAACGAAAGCCAATAGCCTATCTGGCATGTTCAATCAAATGTCAGCATTACCGGTAAAAGAAGTGGTCTCCACCAATGGTCCACCTTTCAAATCCTTTTTTTTAATGAAGAAAATAAAATGCATTATTTCAGATCCCTGTAAACCAGCCCCTTGAACGCCATGATGTGTTCCGACGACTCTCGAAACAAAGCGCTACTGCATCTATGAAAAGAAAACAAAAAACAGAATTGTGCAAGAGATCAGTCTGTTTTTGTTCTTGTTTTTTTTACCATTTTGCCCCTTTTTATCTCTAGAAATAATAAAGGAAATGTAACTTTAATTATTTTTTTTTTTAAAATTCGTATTTCAAAAAGAAAAGAAGAAAGCTGAATAAAAAAGAAATTCAATCAAACATTGTCTTTGTTATAACGCTGATTATGAATAATCATCAACGTTTCCCACACTTTTTGGACCCAGTCCCCACCTGAGCACCTAACAAGTTTTTATGGGCCCCCCCCCCCCCCCCCCCCAACACTTTAAAGAAGGCTGCCACTATTCGCACCCATGTACCAGAAGTGAGAGGTTGGGATTTAAAAAAAACACAACTATTTTAAAATATTAGTTTTGGGTTTGTAAGACAGAATGAGGCATCAAATGAAAGATAATTGAGTGGAATAAATGTTTGTAAACTTACTTCTTCAGTTTAACTAAAATAAACTACCACAAATGACATCATGATAGCATTGAGTCTAATGGGACCCAGGTGTGAATGGCAGCGCCGCCAGTTATCTGATGATCAGTCAGCGTGATGGCTTTTCTTGGAGTAATCAGTCAGTGAGATGGCTTTTCTTGGATTTATCAGTCCTGTAAGATGGCTTTTCGTGGATTCATCGGTCCATTGAAATGGCCTTTCTTGGATTCATCAGTCCAATGAGATGATTCTTGGGAAGGGGGTCAAATATAAAAAAAACAACAACATTGAAGCAGAGGCTAACTAGGCGTGTCATTGGCTAACTAGGCATGGCAATGGCTAACTAGGCGGGTCATTGGCTAACTAGGCATGACAATGGCTAACTAGGCGGGTCATTGGCTAACTAGGCATGGCAATGGCTAACTAGGCGGGTCATTGGCTAACTAGGCATGGCAATGGCCAACTAGGCGTGTCATTGGCTAACTAGGCATGGCAATGGCTAACTAGGCGGGTCATTGGCTAACTAGGCAAGGCAAAGGTTTTCTAGGCGTGGCTAACTAGGCATGGCATTGGCTAACTAGGCGTGGCGTTGACAGGCACTAATTAGGCTTTGCATTTCTCGGAGCTAACTAGTGGTGGCATTCCGGGGGGGGGGGGGGGCTTACCAGGCATGAAATTTTAAAAAATTGTTTTCGCCAAATTCACTTATAGTCTTAGCAGCTACATTTTAATCTGATTGTAGGATCATGCTTATTAAGAGTTATGCCCGGGCAGAACCCAGAATATTGCCTGCCTGATTTAATCCACCTTCTGTTTTTAGGGATAGTAAAGGGGGCACCGTTAGTGCCCCAACATCTGTGTGCCCAAACATCTGTTCCCATTTAATCATGCAAAAGGTGGAAGGTAGGTAAAACAGGTCAAAACTCAACTCCAGCATTTATGTGGAGAGACAGCTGTGGCCAACCCAAACAAATCATAAGTAAAAGACAAAACATGGAACAAAAACAAAAGGTTTTCAGTGATTAATTTTAATTAATTTTTTTTTTTTTTGTAAACAAGTACAAACTTTTAACCTTAACATTAACGATTAACAACGCAACACTAGGAACATTCAAGCAGAGCCAAGTTTTTGTTCTCTCATCCCAATCTGGCTCATCTCTCTCTGTGGTTAACCAGCCATCCCATGCAATGGAACTGAAATAACCAACAATCCACTTGTTATGTAACTGGAATAACCAATAGTCCCATGCTAAGCAACTTGAATTACCAACTGTCTTATGCTGTGTTACTGTTGAAAAGAAAAGGAAACTAATTCATATCACCACTTTCTCACTGAAAGTTACATTATTCATTTGTATAACTTTGTAGAGCATTAAGTGAAATTGCTTGTTGTATGTCGTCAACTTGACTATTACAAACCTCAAGTTACTATATAAATTTGAAAAATGAAAATTTCTTCAGGAATAAAAAACAACATTTTTTTCCCCCCTCAACCTTTAAACATTTCTTTGAAGGCTTATGTTTCCTCCAAAATTACACGGCAACTTGTTCATTCCTTTCATCTAAAATAACATAGATTACACACAGCACTTCAGTAAAAAAAAAATATTTAATCAACTGGGCATTTTCACTTTTGGTACTTGTAAAAAATAAAATTACCAAAAAAAAGAAAAAAAGAAAAAAAAGAAAGAAACATAACCTACAGGATTCTAATCTCACAATTCCTGTTCAGCTTCTTCAAGAATAAATGTGCCACTTGTCTTGGTTAGCTAAGAGCATTTACACACAAGCCCCACACAACAAACAAGATCAGGTCCTGTTGTCAAGCTCTTGCAAATGTAATCACAACAGGATTAAAATGAAATACTAATAAAATCGGCATCACAACCTTTGATTATAGTGAAGACTGACAGATCAAAACAAGTAAAAAAAAAAAAAATATTTAAATAAACTTTCAAAAGAAATATTTTAAAAATTAGATAAATGAGATTGTAAATGAGTTTCTTTACAGTTATCAACACACAAAGAGGCATAAAAGCAGAAGCTGAAGCAACTGTTGGGCACGGCTGATTTAGTTAACCGGAGCGACTGCCCTTACTTGATGATCAATTTAAAAGGGTTAAGAAAAAAAAAGCCATGTAACTTCAAATTAAGTTTCAGATCTTTGTCTCTCAAGCTTTTCACAATGACAAGTTCTAACATCAATTAAGTACATTTGGCTAAATTTATATGAAGATTTGAACAAAAAAATAAGTATATAAAATAACTACCATCAGTAACTTAAGCATTAAAAATTTAAAAAGTAACTAGACTTAAGGTAATTTAATGTATTGTAATGAAATTAAAAAGGATGAATACAGAATTTACAGTGGAACTGCCTAAATTCACATTTGAGTAGGCTTTTGTGATATTTTAAACCATGGTAATATCTCATGAACACAACATAATTAAGTTCACAGATGTTGACAAAATGCAAATTTCCCCTCAAACAAGCAACAAAAATTGCATGTCACAGATAATCTGTACAAATCTTTTGTGCACACTTCATGGTCATAAATTCGGCCTAAAATAATTTTAGCAAGGTCTTTAAGACTAAAGTCTTTCAAGAGGGGATAAAATACATCAACTTTGCACATTAAATTTTTTAGCAAAAAGTCTATTTTGATTTTTCAAAATTTAAAATCCAATTTTGTAGATCTTTTTCAAAGAGTTTGAATTTTAGAAATTATAAGAGTAAGCATGAATAACAATTAGGTGTTATGGGTCATCTGAAACAACACATATTTCTGTATTGTAAAAAAAAATAAAAACACATTTGTAAAAATCACTAAAATATTTGACAAAACAATGTTTAAAAAATTTAAGATGAATCCCTTAAAAAGGCTTAATCTGAGACTAAAATGTAAATGTATATTACTAGTCAATAAATAGTAAATATCTGTGTAAATACCTTCAGATTTGATTATTGTTTTCTAGAGATAAACTAACTACTGAGGGCTATAACAAACTCATGAGTACACAAAGTCTATCCTTGATCCCATGTTGACTATGAAACAACAAAAAGCGGATTTTGTTCCACCAAAGCAAAAAGATTTTCAAACTATACAAATAAATAAATAAAGGTTGCAGCACAGTGATGGCAAGAAACTATTATAATAACATTTGCCTGTAAAAAAAAACAACAAAAAAAAACAACAACCCGGGTTTTAATACCTTCAACATTACACATTAAGTTAACCACAGAGTCAATTTTGATTCTTATTAATTTTTTTTAAAGAATTCATTTACATGCGCACTAATAACTTGAAATGAAGTAGCAGTGACTTGATAATGGGAGAAATGGAAGATACTGAAGGTCAATACCCACCAATGCAAGGATGGAAATTTTAAGAATGTCAGCAGCACCATTTGAAATTATATGTTGTCTATACATTTTATAGAGTTGTTTTTTTTGGTCAGTAAAAAAATTGTCAAAAAACATTCTTAACAAAAATGGATGTTTGAGGAGAAAAGTTTAAAAATTCATTTCAAAGTTCTCTCTTCCTCCATTGACATGATTGTTTACTTTTGTATATTGTTCCAGTGAAAAAACAAATATTTAAAAAAATTGATAAGCATATATAATGTAAGTTTGTCCCCTTGGAATGCCTTGCATATATTTTTGGGACTATGGTAAACAACACTGGAAGAACAATAATTAAATGAAAATAGTTGAAATTCAAGAACCTGATAATAAACAACATTTATTTCCTGCTACATTATTTAGGCAAATATATATAATTTATGAATTTTTTTAAAAAATTCAACAACTTGTTAGTGTTTTGTTAATCTAATTTTGATAATTTTTTTTTTTAAATGTGCTTCTTTCTTTTTCCATCAGATAAAGCTGTATTTGCAGAACAATAGAAAGCCTAAAAACATACATAAGATTTTCCCTTTTTTTTATCTCCTCTCCATTTTATTGCTCTCAACAGATTAAAATTTAATTATTTTTTTGTTACCACTCTTTGTTTTACTATAAACAAACAAAAAAACACATGGTACTATAAATATCTGACACTACATGATTTCTAGCAAGAATAATTTAGTAGTGTCTGTAAAAAGGAAATTTAAAATTGTATTTTATACTTTAAAACAAGGTCTGATGTAATGATGTATTAAATATACACATGCCAAAACACATACATGGGTATCCAGATTAATCATGGTTATATAAATTAAAATAAATTATTATAAATTCTTAACAAGCTTTAAGCAGATTTGTTGTTAAAAATATGTAATGTAAGACATGTGAATATTTTTTTTTTAAGTTTTTTTTTTAAAAACTTCTTTGCCTTGTCCACTTTAATAAAATACATTTAGTAGTCTCTCTTTAAAAAAGACAATTATCATGATGAGATATTCTTTTCTCCAAGTCTAAATGACATAAGGGTAGTTTAGTATAGTAGATCAGCGGTTCACAAATTGTGGTATATTCATATACAAGAAGCTATATTTCAAAATTGGGGTGGGGGGGTGTGTGTGTGTGTGTGTGTTAAATAAAATGTGTAATCAAGGTGAATGGGAGCCGTTGTATTAGATGATGAGATTAGATACATTCAAAATGTACATATTAAATCTAATCCTATTACCCCCTAAAAATTTTCAAGAATTGCCGACATTTTGATTATTTTTCCATAATATATTTCATACAAATTAAGTACAGGATGCTCAGAGACTCTGTAAACACAATAAGTCATTTCCATTGCTGCAACATTGTGCATCCCTTTAAAAATTTAAAGCCATATCTTGAAACATTGTCATTTATCAACATACAAATATAAATTATTGTAGCTTAAATTAGTTTTATGTATGCATAAATGTTGCATTTATGATAAAGCAATGCATATTAAGTACATATGTTGAGAAAAAAATGACCATGGCCATAAAAACGGGGAACTAAAAAAAAGTCTTTTTTACAACTGCCAGCGTCAATCAACATTTTTCAAATAATACCCCAGAGTACCACAGCCTGATAATTGTTCTTAATTTTATTTCACAGTAATGCCTAAGTAGCGGCCCTTGTTCTCTGATAACTGCACCTAATAAATGATTGAGTAAGGGATTAAGCTGCAGCAATGGTAACAAAAACTACTAATTATTCAAACATCTATCAGCTCAGCTAGGAATTCTAATTTTTGAATGAAGAATTCGTTGTTTATCTCAGTTATTCAGCAGATCAATTTCTATTGGAGCAGACAAAAATATTTTTTAAACATGGCCTCCAAATATAAAGTTCATTTTGATCAATAATCCTCCTCCCACTCAACACACTAGTTGCATCTTCATGGTTGACCCTACCACAGTTCAGACCTCTGCAGATGGGGCAAATGTTTCTTGGCACTGTCTGGTCGCTGCTGTTGGACGGGGCTGCCGTGCATGATGGCAGACATCTCATCCTGATTTCTGGCTTTCTCCATGTTGCGGACTCCGTCCAGGCGGACTCGGTTCGGTGGAGTCTTACGTCTGGAATACAAGATCATATAAAAGTTTAGATAGATAAAAGGGGAGGTATTCAGGGTATTACTGGGCGCCTACTGCTTGCTTCATTAATATGAAGGTAATGGAGTTGGTCTCCTTAAGTAAATGCTTCAAGTTTTCTAACTTTTCATTTTGTGATGCTGGCAGTTTTCTGTAAGATAACTCAGTGTTACTGAGTTGCCATCAGTTTTCTGCGAGACAACTTACGAGTTCTCCGATACCGTCATGTGTTTAAGCACTTTGGGTGTCTTCTTCTGTGGCAAGTCATGGTTGTTCTGGAGAATAATCTCATTGATAGAGTCAGCGCTGTTCTTCTGGGCAATGCCTTCACCTTCAGGTCGCATGCGGTGCTGGGGCGGGTCCTCATCCCAACCACTGGAGAAAGATAGGACAACATTTCAGAGTCCATGTGTTTTTAGTTTCTTGTCATTTTCACGAAACTCAAAGACATATTTATTGGTTTCCAAATGGTTGTTTAAGTAGCTCGGCATATTTCATTTTTACTCAATGATCTCTATTTAGAATGAATTTATAAAAAAGGGTGAGGGGGGCGCTGGAGAGATCCCTGGAGAGGTCACCCAGCCCCTGAAAAGTGCATGCAATGCTCTAAGGGAACCTTAGGGTCAAGATCATCCCACTTTGGCGTGTCATTTTTGTTTTGGCCAAGAGACTGTAGTAAATACATGGGTTTTTCCCTTTGCCTTGACTATCTCAAAATCACAAATAATGCAGTCCTCTGTTTTTTTACAAAATCTTTATTAACTTTAAATGGATGATTTAAAAAAATACATTTTGGTTTGGACATCACATCCTAATTCAACTTTTGTTGTCTTCGATTTTTAAAATGCCAAAAAAAAAAAGAAACTGTTTGAAACAGATGGCAGCACATCCAGCAACAACTTCAGTTTAACAATAGCAAAGAAGTTTGCAGAAAGTAATGGCACATTTTTTTATCTTAAATGTTCATTCTTTAAACACAATTTTTTTCTCATATTTTCTCATTAAGCCATAAGTTGGGTTTTGATTTGATGGAATATTCTTTGACAAACTGACTCAGCTGCCCCCCCCCCCCCCACACACACACACACATTAAAACACTTGCCTTGTTGTGCATGCAGGCCAGGGAAAAGATCCAACATAATTAAGCCATAAATTGGGTTTTGATTTGATGGAATATTCTTTGACAAACTGACTCAGCTGCCCCCCCCCCCCCACACACACACACACATTAAAACACTTGCCTTGTTGTGCATGCAGGCCAGGGAAAAGATCCAACATAAATATTTATTTAGCTTTCATTTGAAGTATGGATAAACTAAATTAACCAAGTTTTTTTTCTTGACTACATTCATTACAAGCTTATCTATTTATCTATTTTTCCAATTTTCATGACTTATTCGGTGTTCTAATTTATTCAAGTCAATGTTAAACAGCTGTCTCCACTAACCTGCCCGAAGACTCTTGATGTAAACGCCCCTGCTTGGGCTCCCTAGGTGTCTTGGTGCCCTCAAGCCTCATCAAGGGCCCCATGCGCTCACCTTTGTGCTTCTCTGCAATCTTTTGAAGACATTATACAATTAGCTCAGTTTCCCATCTGTGAGAGGTCTCCTAGCATAAATTATAATGACTAACTGTTAGGGGCTAGCGTGTTTTCCTTTGCAGTAGTCAATACAACATTCATACCAGAAGTCAGTAACTTTTTGCCATGGTAAAGGACAAGTGCCAGGATGTAATAACAAAGGGCAAGGGCACTTTGTAACCAACAGAAACAATTGCTGATGTCGATAACATAATGGTATTTTAAAAGCCGATTTAGCCAGAGCCTCATACCGCTTGAGAATTTGTACAGGTTTACCTCAGAGTTTGGTGAGCCTGGGTAAATTACCCCGAATGGGGTAAAAATAAAAATATTGAGGGTAATGAGAGCTCAATAAACATAAATGGTATTTTATAAACCTTGCGACAAAGAATTTTCTGTCTGATTAAAACTGTATCTGGCCAGTGTAAAAGATAACGCACCCGGCATGTTGTTGTCAGTAGTGGCCTGGCAGTTAGCATAGCTGCACATCTTGTCTTAGATACCACTCTGCAATTTCGGCCTAGATGTCTAATGTTTTATCTAACGCTAAATATTTAGAGGCTTCCATTAATTTTTTAAATTTCATTTATTAAGTACTTTTAAAAAAATAATAACAATTGTATATGTGCATTAATAGATTTAATGAGCCTTGTTTTCTAACATCCATAAATGATGTCTTGCCTTTTTGCCTGACCCCCCCCCCCCCACAACCATCTGCCAAACTTCATACATTTTCAACACAATTAGGCAGCTGTTGTATTGGCCTAGTTAGCTAGCTGTTGTACTGACCTAGTTAAGTAGCTAGCTGTTGTATTGGCCTAAAAAGTAACTTAACAACTAAAGCTGAAAGAGCCCGTGGCAGACCACCAACCTCTTCAGCACCAATTCCAAATCTGTGCTTGGGGGGAAATTCATTGGCAGGAATGGGTGCAGAGCTGTAGTGGTCAAGGAGAACTTTCGTTGATCCCTGCCCCCTTTGTAGATATTCTTCTGCGTCTGCACCTTTCACCTACAAAAAAAAAAAAAAACAGACTTAGGAAAATTCCTTTTTAAATCCTTTATATTAACTTCCCTTTTGTTTGTGTGTTTCTTTCTTTGTGGCAAAAGCCAAATCTTCTGAAGGCATATTGAAGGCATATTGACCCACTTCCCGTCATCCTATGGACCTGAAACTTGGCACATAGTTTGTTTTCAAATCACATACTATTATATAAATTTTGAACAAAAATGCATATTAAGGATTTCTACGAAAAACTTTGTTTATAGGGGTTTTATTACTAAAGTAAGTATTTCTGAAACCAATGTTGTCCAGCCGCTGGAAGGAAAGAAGGAAAGGTCACAAGGTTAAACACCACTCCTTAAACTGTAAATATTAAGTCTGTGATAAATCTTAAGTTGTGTCAAAAAGATACAAATCAAGCACAAAAACAAGTTTAGGGCCACCTTTTATTTAATTTTATTTATCACTGATAAAATCAATATCATTTCTGTGCAATCCCTTCTTCAAAAGACTAAACATATATAATACAGGATACAACAGAATATAATATAATACAAATAATACATCATCAGAACAGCTGGTCCCAAAACTGTGCCTTTTAATCTACTCAAGCTTTATCACAGACTTAATTCTTTATTGTTTGAGGGGTGGTTTTTAACCTTGTAACTTTCTTTCTTAGAACCATCATCAAATTTTTTGGTGGTGCCCATCTGTCACAATATGACGATGGTGTAGAATTCGCGGGACTAAATCCACAAGATCTGGGATTATTCTTTTTAGAATTAAAAGCAAATTGCCTCTCTTCTGAATAACCCAATGGAACTTCATGTGGATGTTACATGAGTTGTCGGAATGTTTAATTGTGCCAATGTTATCTGCCTATGGGACTCCATCTCTGGGTTTCATCTTTTGCTTGACTGGCCTATGGTGGGGATTGAACTTCAAACCATGAACTTAACATTGGCTCAGTTTATATCACTCAGCCACCCAGCACCCAATAATCTAATTCAACTGAGCCTGCCCAAAATAAGGCCCGCCAGCACCCACCTTGTGGCCCTCGAAGTAACAAAATATTCTTTATTATTATTATTTTCTTAATAGCTTTCCCCCTGTCCTATTTTCTTTCACCCCGCACAAGTTTTTCATAAAGTGTTACTGCCCGCCTTACATTTTGAGTTGTGCAGGCCTGATTTAATTACTTTATGTCTTATAAAACATAGACCCCTCAGCCATCCAGCTGTCTAAACTGAATCAATCGCAAGCTTGTGGACTGGAGTTCAACCCCGACCAAAAGCCTAGTCAAGCAAAAAAAAACCCAAAAGCTCTTTGGGTGGATGGGACTAGTTATCCTTGGATTGTAACTCATCTAAGAGAAGGAAAACTCTGAATTCAAACCCAAAGATGGGGTCCCGTGCTGTATGGCATTGACCAAAGGCTAAGTGTGATAGATAGCGTCTCACACCATGGCAGCACACGATCCTAAAGCGCTATCGTCGATGACAAGGTTAACCTTCGCACTGCAAGAGAAAACTGTCTAATAATGTATGGACCAGGAGAGGTATCAGCATCCAAACTAAAATGGAAGTATATAAGGCGGCTGTGCTCCCTACGCTTCTCTATGCCTGAGAAATGTAGATGGTCTATTAACACCATGCAAGAATGTTGAACCACTTTTCATACACCAAGTCTCAGGTAAATCTTAAACACCAAATGACAGGACAAGGTCCCAGACGCTGGGGTTCTCACACAGGCAGGTCTCCCCAGCATCTTTACCATTTTAATGCAGTCCCCGTTTCGCAAATATTGGCTGACGGCTTGTCCAAAAGAATATTCTATGGCGAGCTTGAGCTAGCGGACATAAGAAATGCTTTAAAGACAATCTAAAAGCATTATATTTTAACGCTAACACATGGGAAGAAACTGCAAAGTATCAAGCATCATGTCGTTCCTCTGTACGCAAAGGCCCCACACAGCAATCAGCCAATAGAACAGTGGCTGCAGAGCACAATAGGCATGCCAGAAAACCCCGGGTTAACTCTGCACCTGGAGACGTCCCATCAATCCCTTGCAATTACCGCACAAGGACATTTTGTGCCAGAATCTGCCTCATCAGCCATCAGCGCACCCACAGCCATTATTACAATTAATATATATGATGATTAAAGTGGTCATTTTTTATTTTGACTGATGAACTATATCTTTATATAATAATAATAATAATAAAGTTTATTTCAAAAACATGCTTCATCTACAAAGGCTCGAAGCGTGGTACAAAGTCAACATCAGCAACAACAACAAAAAAAAAAAATTTTTTTTTTTTTTTTTTTTTTTTTTTTTTTTTTTTTTTTTTTTTTTTTTAAAAGAAAATGACATTCACATAATGAAAATTCTGGTAACTCCTGCGATGCTACTGGTGCCAAGCTGTATCATTCAGATATGATGTTCCCTTGGGTTATCCAGATGCACCGAGGAGGGTGATTTGCTGTTTAGGGAACCAGCTTATCCTCCTTAAAAAAGAAATCCCAGGACTTGTAATTTCATCCTGCCAAGTCTACACCAGGTTACATTGTGGTGGACAGATGCCAGTATATCACATAACTTAAGCTTAAAGCAATCTCAAAGCTACCTAAATAAAATTTCAGTAGGGACTGTGCTCACCTTCGGCACTGGTCGAGGTGACACCTCAAGGTTTCCATAGTTCTCAATCAGATTCTTCATCCCATCCCCTTGGTTCCCGGCAGCATTTTCCTGTGCCTCGGGCTTCACTCCCCTGGGGTGAAGGTTCCTGGAAACGGGCGGGTTGGCGTAGCCTTGCATGTTCTCGTTCATGGAGCCCCGGTTTTTCAAGGCGTTGTCACGAGCAGCATCAGACCGGAGACGGGCGTCGGGTTTAGCGTCAGAGGTGGGGTTGTTGTTGTGAGCGAACCAGTCGGAGGCTTTGTGGTTGCGCTCATAGTTCTCGCGGCCTTCAACGTGCACTCGGGGGTTGCCGATGAGGGGCTCATCTGTGCTTGGGGAACTAAAGTCGTTCATGATTAATAAGTTTTTGCAAAGGGGCTGTGTCCAAGAAAAATATTTTTTTTCTCAGCCTCGGTCTGGAGATTGTTTATTTCTGTAGAGAGACGATAGAATAATTTTAATAGTTTTTGTTTAACAGCAATTTGTAAATATGACATTCTGTATACATGGGTGATTAATCCCTTAGCTTGATGTTCTTGATTAAGATTAACATACAACAGAATTACTAGTTCACTTACACAATTAATAAAATAAAAAATGGGGAAGAGGGTTTGATAGAATTATTTGTTTCCCACCAAGATTTATGTTTTGTAAATTTTTTATCTGGAAAATGTTAGGATTTAAAAATAAGAAGTGAAAATGGGGGGGGGCGGGCTTTAAAATACAACATAAACATGTTTCTCCTTCATCAGGAAAGTCATTTGTTTTGAATACTGCAAAACCTCAAATGACTTAATAATGATAATATGTACATGTGTTTAATGTTATCTTTGAGCTGTGTGGCTGCGCGGCCACGCAGCTATCTCACAGATGCCGCGCAGCAGTTTTGAGTATCGGGCAAATTTGTATAAAAATAAATTTGAACCATACAGTTTTATAACATATACATCTATGTTTTTAATTTGATTCAGATTTATATTTTTACCTTCTAATTTTTTACGTAGAATTATTGATACTGCGCAGTGAATGTGCATAAAGTTCATACAACAATACTCAGAAAAATCCTCAACATTTAATGGCAGGACAGGGTCCCAGACACTGAGGTGCTCACCCATGCAGGTCTCCCCAGCATCTTTACCATCTTAATGCAGTCCCAGCTTCGCTCCCCAAAATAATTTTCTATGGTGAGCTCCAACAAGGAAGGTGGTCTGCTGGTGTGCAGAAGAAAGGTTTTAAAGACAACCTTAAAGCCTCACTGAAAGCGTTCGACATAAACCCAGGGGAGGAAAAAGAAAAGGATCGAACATCATGGCGTTTCACTTTTCACAGGAGCTCCATGCAACATGAAGTTAGCGGAACAGCGGCTGCAGAGCGCAAGAGACATGCCAGGAAGACCCGGTCTTCACACCCACAGACAGAAGTAGCACAAATCTGATGATTAAAGTGTTCATGGTCGACTCCCGAAAAACCCCCCCAAAAAACAAGTAAATAAATCTCATGTCTATAATTTACTATAAATATAGTAGCTAATTATTTTTAATAATGTTTTAACTGTTGTCTAAACATCAGTTAACCTAATGGTCGGCGTCATCGTTTGCTAAGAAAAAGTGTGGATCAAATTTTAAAACGGAATGGCTCAATGAATTAGTGCATGCAGCACAACGAGATTCGTCATTAGAGTGGACTGTCGAGCTGGTTGATATTTTTAAATAATGTGTAATTGATGATGATGTTCTCTGTGAAATGTGCTTCAAAGCTAATGCCGGTGGTGATTTCTCACAAAGGGATAAGGTGGGAGGCTTGGAAGCTGGTTTATCTTAAACGACGTATCAAGCAAAAAATACACACAGATGCTAATACAGAGAATTTGTTCTATACACTCAGGAGGTGTACTGCGAATGCTTACAGAAAGTGTTGCTGATTGAGGCATGAGACAAGAAGCAGCACAACGTAAAAGTGCTAAAGAAAACCAGGTTAAAATTTTGATTGACAACGTCCTCTTGGCTATTATCAACATGAACACATCTATGAATGCGGTTCAATACATACACATCAATATGGCTAAGTATGCCCCATTCCCTGATAGCTGGTGCAGTAAGAATTACGCTTTAGAGTTTGTTGATTCTATCGACTCTGTAGTGAAGGATGCTATAATTAGCGAACTTTGAAATACAAATTTCCACACATTAACAGTATATAAGAGCACTGACATAAATGTTTATCTTATACGCAAATTTTCTGCCATATCCCGGTAATGTCTACAAGACAGTGTTTGTTGGAATTTTCTGTCTGTCGGCCTAAGGCGGTAAATCGGTGGAATCAGCAATAACAGAGTTTTATCAAGAGAATACATTGGACATGCAGAAAATGGCTATGTTTATCCCTGATGGTGCATCGGTTAAGCTAGGCAAGAACATGAAGCAATTCTTCACCAATAAATTCAACATCTACTTGAACAACATTGTGTTGCTTATCGTGAAGATTTAGGCATTGATGATGCTTGCAAACGTATAAGTTTAAAGGCAGAAATTGAAACATTCCTTTGGACAGTGTACTCATTATTCAGTAGGTCGACAGTACGGAGAGCCCAGTTTACCATCTAGCTAAGGTGTTGGAATGTGATTCTGTACCCCTTATTAGACCATTGAATGAAATCAGGTGGCTTTCGCTGCACTTTGCTTTACGAGCATTACTGAGAAACATACAACTGTTGACTGAATACTGTGAGGAGCAGGTGGGCCTGTATAATGATCCGGTTCATAAGTACTTTGAAGAAACTAAGGGATCCGGAGTTTCAAACAGCACCAATTGTCCTTGATGAAGTTGTTGGTGAGCTTGCTGAATTATGCAAGCTGCTACAAAGAAAAATCTTACGACCATCGAGGCATACCAATTCGTAAAATCAAGGCTCGCCAAGCTCCGTGCTTAGTAACTTTGTGAAAATGTGCACTGGTCCGAAGAGGTTGCTAAACTGCTTGCAAATGACGAGGATATAAACATGAGTTCTATCCTAAAGTTCGTTGAATTTTTATGTTTGCACCTGGACTCTTGTTTCCCTGAAAGTGAGTTGTTGCAATGGCAAATCTTTGAGATATCAGCGTTAATCGGCACTTCAGACATAAGTTTTGGCCAAGAAGAATTTGCAGCACTGATTTCTAGATATGCAGCATTCTTGGAAAACTATGATGACATTCTGCAGAAAGTTAAGGATCAGCATCATAACTTAAGGTTTGTGCTTGCAGAAAAAATGAAATAAGGCTTGATGCAAACTTTCAATGAGATGGTTAGATTTCTAATAAATGAGGAGCAATTCGGTGACATTGCCATTCTGTTGGTTTTTGTGCTACATTTCTTACATTTATCGCCGATTGTGAATGTGGATTCAGCCTAATGAATAATATAAAAATAAATTCTAGAAATAGGCTGGAAGATTTACATTTAGACATGCTTATGAGGATTAAATCACATCAGAATGATGGACATCAGCTCAACCTTGACGATTTGTATAAAAGATGGATATCGTTGAAAGACAGGCGCCAGAGTACCTCCAGGAACAAGTCAATCAAACGACTAGCAGCCATTTGAAGTGGGTGTGTGGAATTTAGTTGCTTGACCCAACGACGGGATAAATAATAGAAATAAATGAAGCTTTGATTTTGTTTTAACTATTGTGACATTTCTGATTAGAATTATTTAATTTTAGTTCCTTTTTTTTATTTATATAAAATTTTGTGCACTACTTCATTTATGTAATGTCCCTGTGTGTGTATGTTTGTGGGCTGTATATTTTGCACACAAAAATTGATGCTGTAAAACTTTTCATACAACAGTATGATTTTGCATACGAACCAACAAACCTTAGAGGGAACATTGCATGTGTTGGGCATATGTTGAACAGGCCAATATTTACAATTTTAGAAAAGAAATTACTATTTGTTGTTTTGTTTCCCCAGACTTTCCTTTCAAACATTAAATGATAAAACTAAAACACAATTTTGTTTATGTTATGAGCCATCAGTGATGTCAAAACATCAGAAGAGCCTTCAGGCCTTACAGTGATGAATAGCACCTGCTTTCTTACCTGGTTGAAAGGGTCCAAGTCTTCCAATCAAGTAAACTGTCCACTTATCCTGTCAGGTCAGATGAAATCAAGTCAGAGAAATGAGTGCTACAGCAGTCCAAGGTTGAAGGGGGATAAGTGAGGAATGAGTCACTACCATGTTACTTCCCTTGAATTTTTAGCAATCATTCAATGGTATTTCTGTATAAATGAAGAAAGAAAATACATTGTTATAAAAAGTTCATTCAATATAAAATCGAATAAAAAAATAAGAATCAATAATTATTTTAGATGAGGACATGTACATTTTTATTGTTAAATACATTTTTTTTTTTTTTTAATAAACTTCAATTTGGTTTCAGTAAGCTGAGTGAGCTTCAATTGTTTTCTATTGACAAGAAACTCTATACATTTGAAACAACTTTTACCCAAAATCAACACATTTTTTTAAACACTGTGAAATTGTACACATCAAATGACCAAAGGATTTGGTAACACTAACAAATCTTTTTGACGAACAATCCAGCGAATTAAAAAACAAATTAGAAAAGAATAAACGACCAATTAACAAACTTTGCTATGATTAAACAATCTATGCAACTAGCAACTAACAAAATCCCAGTGATATATGAAAATGGTTTAGTTTTTATTTATAGTTTTATGTTTAAATTGTTTCACAATGAGTTTAAATTGTGCATTATTCACTTTAATTTAAGCACAATGTTACACACCATTAGAAATTGGAAACACCATTGGAAACGTTAGAGAATACATCAATTAAACACTTTTTTTTCCCCATGTTAAACAAAAATGACACTCATTTGATCTAATGCCTTCCCACAGAGTATTATAATATAATTTATGAAGCAGAGCAAAAGTTGACTAGACTCAAATAGCTGAATATTAAAGGCATGTATTGCAGTAACCGGCTCTTTATGAGAAATTAAACAATTGTGCACAGGCAGCATGATGGTGCATACATAAACTCAAAACAGCCAACTATCAACTGGCACATGGTGTGCTGCTGTTGTTTCTTTTAAGTCTCCAATCAAACTGCAACCCTTCAACAACAACTGAAGAATAAGTGGAGCTCAGGTAAACTAGCAGTAAATATGGACTGCCGGATGGGACCACTGGATTGGAGAACCATGGACCTATGCCTGCCAGCTCAGTAATGAATCCCAGCAGACGCTAGATTTCTAGGCAGGATCAATTTATTGGTCAAACTTGGGGGTTCCTCGCCAGGAATATTCATCAGATTTTGGGATTCAAGAACAGGAATAATGTTCAGATTGTGGGAATATTGAGGGATAAAGGTGCAAACTTATTTGCCTTACCAGATCACTCAATGAGGTCATGGAATAGAAGGAATGCTTCTATTTCTTAATTTATACAAAAAGGTAGAACGAGGCAGAGAAAATAGTACTAACAGTATCCTAAAATTTAGCTTATACTTGGTGCACTAAGATGTATTTTTAGAGAGAGGAAAGGAGTGAGAGAGAGAGAGGGTGGAGAGCGAGAGAGGGGGAGTGTGAAAGGAGGGGAGGAGAGGGTAGGGAGGAGAGGGAGTGAGGGGAGTGAGAAGGATGAGAGAGGGAAAATAGAGGGAAGAGTGAGAGGGAATAGAGAGAGGGAGCAGAGTGAGAAAGAAGGAGGAAAGAGGGGAGGAGAGAGCGGGAGGAGAGAGCGAGAGGAGAGTGATAGTAAATGCATGAACAAGAGTAAGAGAAACAACCATGATGCACATACTAATGATGCCAAAATAATATAATTTAAAAATAAGCACCGTATTTTTAACGTGATGCTCAGAAAATGATTGGTGGCAGGCACTTACCTATTATTGGTAAAATTTCCAATTCTTATATTTAAAAATAAGGGTGAATAGCCTAACAATGAATCACAGATTTATGTTAACATTTTTTCAAATTAAGGTTGTAAAGTGTTGTTTATTTTATCTAATAACTATTGTAAAAATGAAATTTAAAAAACCCCATAAAAACACACTTTAAAAAAGATTATTTGAAAGGTAATCAAACCTGGACTCAAATAAGTGACATGATTTTAATCAAGGTGAAATCCGTGAATGATGCTAGGTGCCAAGGGAAACGATTTTTACGGATATCTGAGTTATTTCCCCTCCCTAATTCTGCCCACCTACCCCTTACAGTCTCCGTGCCATTATACTTGTTGATTATATCGTTAGATGGAAACTTATTTCAATATTTGGTGTAGTTCATAATCCGAGTTAATCCTATAATGATTATTGAAACTTAAGTCAATTACATGTAATTACCCCAGGAGCAAGTAACCTCATTTCTCTAACCAGCTGACTAAATGACTCCAGGTGTTTCCTTCCCTCCTCTCTGTCAGCACCCACCATTAACTATTTATTAGCTACTCAGGGCTTCTTACCGTGGGTTTAATGGACTCATTCCATTTCTTAATCATGACCGAAATCCCCAGAGAAGGACATTTTTTAATTCCTTAAACTTAAACCTCAATAGAGTTTTATTTTTTAGTTTGAAAAAAAGTATCACAACTGAAACACAACGTAAAAAACACCTTATAACTAGATAACTAGATGGGGCCCACACTTGAATGAAGTGGCATACAGCTGAAACACAACGTAAAAAACACCTTATAACTAGATGGGGCCCACACTTGAATGAAGTGGCATACAGCTGAAACACAACGTAAAAAAACACCTTATAACCAGATGGGGCCCACACTTGAATGAAGTGGCCTACAGCTGAAACACAATGTAAAAAAACACCTTATAACTAGATGGGGCCCACACTTGAATGAAGTGGCCTACAGCTGAAACACAACGTAAAAAGCACCTTATAACTAGATGGGGCCCACACTTGAATGAAGTGGCATTTTGAGGGGAAAAAATATAACAAATCATGAAAACCAAACATTTAAAAAGTTCACTTTGACCTAACATAAGAAGGTGCTAACTTGGGGTGTACCATTTAATGTCTGGCAGTACCAGGAAAGAAGGTGCTACACCACAGGTTGACGGGTTTAAAAAGTTTGTTTTCTTTTTTTAAAAAAGAGTGTATAATGATGGGTAATGGATGAGGAAAACAGAAGCTGCAGAAACAAATTAACTGACTAACCCCTTAAAATAAAAAATATGTACTTGGTAAAATTTGGGGGAAAAAATGTATTTTTAAAAACATCAACTGAATCTCAAAATAAATTAACAACTTTTCAATATAATATAAATATATGTATATATATATATATATCACATATATTTATATACATATACATATACATATATATATATATATATATGCACAATCTAAATATACTCATTTATGACAACAGAATAAGAACCACACAATAAAAAAAAACGAAAAAAATAATATCACACATTAAAAAGGGGGGTCTGGAGGGGAAAAACCATGCACATGGCAGGCAATCACAGTTTTCTACATGTCATCGGCGGCCAGCATTAATCATCATTAACAACACGCCTGGACATTATGGCCAGAGGTTTCCTCCAGTCCAACAACACCACGACACCCAGACATGTTTTGTTTACCAACTGGCAAGTTGACATGTTTGTTGGTTGTTCAGGTGCTCGCCCGGTTTCAATGTTCATGTTCTCACAGACAACTGCATCTCCCCCCCCCCGGCCCCCGCACCCCCTCCCGATAATCCCATGAACAATCACAAACACCCTATCTCTCCATCCACGAGCAAAGAATCCATGGCAATAATGTTATTTGGGGCAGCAATGTTTAAAAACAGGTATGTGTAAACAGAAACAAACTATATATATATTCATATAAGCTACAAAGCCATTGATTGAGATTGACCAAAATTAATGCCCGGATGTTCTATGAATTGATTTCCACCATTAAATGACAGACCCAATTGGTCAGTAAAATCTGAAATATTAATGTTTTCATTTCAGAAAAAATATTACAATGTATTTTTTTTTTAATGCATAACAAAAAGCTCTGAACAATTTCTTGTTAAAATTATTATTATCATCCAAATTGAGCAACTACCTGCAGCTAGGCAACCAAATGGAGCAACTATCTGCAGCTAGACAACCAAACGGGACAACTACCTGCAGCTAGACAACCAAAAGGAGCAACTATCTGAAGCTAGACAACCAAATGGGACAACTACCTGCAGCTAGACAACCAAATGGAGCAACTATCTGCAGCTAGACAACCAAATGGGACAACCTATATGCAGCTAGACAACCAAATGGAGCAACTATATGCAGCTAGACAACCAAATTTGGGCAACTATCTGCCGCTAGGCTTTTACCAACATCACAGCCCTTTTTAACCCACATCCCTACCGAAAAGTCCTTATCCCCAATTCTAACCTGCTAAATTGTTTAAAGGTAAGTTTGTTTCCTTACACTGAATTATCCTTTTGATCATCTCCACCATTCACCACCCACCAAAACTTAAGAGGTCCTGATACCGTTCTCCATAGGCCATAACTAACTTTCAGGAGACCAATAAGCAGTTTATCCCCTTGAAACGACATACGTGTGAGTACCATCAAGCGCATGTCGCATCCAATTTGCCTGTAAGAGCAGAACGGACTCACGTAGAATGTGAAGTACTAGTAGTTCATCCCTCATTCCCCCATGGCATCAAGGTAGAAATAATGATAGACTCCTAGGCGTGGTTTGGTCATTGATTTAAACGAGCCCTGACACTAGAAATAATGATAGACTCCTAGGCGTGGTTGGACCATTGATTTAAACGAACCGTGACACTAGAAATAATGATAGACTCCTAGGCGTGGTTTGACCATTGATTTAAACGAGCCCTGACACTGGAAATAATGGTAGACTCCTAGGCGTGGTTGGACCATTGATTTAAACGAACCGTGACACTAGAAATAATGATAGACTCCTAGGCGTGGTTGGACCATTGATTTAAACGAACCCTGACACTGGAAATAATGGTAGACTCCTAGGCGTGGTTGGACCATTGATTTAAACGAACCCTGACACTAGAAATAATGATAGACTCCTAGGCGTGGTTGGACCATTGATTTAAACGAACCCTGACACTGGAAATAATGGTAGACTCCTAGGCGTGGTTGGACCATTGATTTAAACGAGCCCTGACACTAGAAATAATGGTAGACTCCTAGGCGTGGTTTGACCATTGATTCAGACGAACCCTCACAGGATAGACAAATGCGAGTCTTCATCAATAGACCAATCGACAGGTGACAACAAAGTAGGGAGCTTACTCATTTTCACAATGGCAATCGTCTTAAAAGGTGAATGAATAAATAAATGATAGCTGAAATCTGAGATGGAAATTTGAGAAGTGTTCAACATAGTGTCACGATAATAGCATAAAGTAATATTTACCGTTGTGTGCACCAACTGAATTGTACTAGGCCAGGGCGGCAACCATATTTTTTAGTGAGGAGCCATTTTCATCAATTATATCTGCTAAGAAAATATTTTGGGAACCACAGGCTGAGGCGGATTGTTAAAATGATGCTTAATAAAAAATAAAAAAATCTAAAAAAGAGGCCACATCTAGTCCTTGAAATGAGCTCGGGGCTCCGGAACCGCGGGTTACCGATCAATGTACTAAGCTACAAATGTGACGTCAGCCAGCCACCACAAAATCAAATTAACTGTACTCCAGAACATGCGAGATATTATAAGGAATAGACCACGGGCCCAAAGACAATAAAACATGGGTCCACAGCTCAGAGAATAAAACACAGGCCCACGGCCCACAGAATAAAACACGGGCCCACGGCCCAGAGGATAAAACACTAACCCGCGGTCCAGAGGATAAAACACAGGCCAAAAGAGAATAAAACAAGGGCCCACGGGCCAGAGGATAAAACACGGGCCCACAGAGAATAAAACAAGGGCCAATGGACCAGAGGATTAAACACGGGCCCACAGAGAATAAAACAAGGGCCAACGAGCCAGACGATAAAACACTGGCCCAAAGAGAATAAAACACAGGCTCACGGGTCAAAGGTTAAAACATGTGCCCACGGCTCAGGTGGCAACAAGGCACCAGCAACAATCGCGACAACATGCCTAGTGTCCCCAACAGCAACAACCAACAAACAGCTCTCGCTTGACGTCACTGAAGTTTGCAGAATGGGCGGAGACATCAATTAAATCAACAAGTCCATCAAGATGATGGCTCTCTAGAACTGCTGACAACACGGAACAATGGCGCCGGTGTTGATGCGAACTTTGGGCGGACGGTCCACGGTCAGTGTTCTTTGAGGAGTGTCTTATTTTATATTAGTGAGTGTCAATGTTTTGATGGTTGTAACATTCACCAATACCGACGAATGTTTCACCAAAAAAACGATGAATGTTTCTCCAACAACGACTAATGTTCCACCAATAAACGACGAATGTTCCACCAATAAACGACGAATGTTCCACCAAGAGCGACGAATGTTCCACAAGGACGACGAATGTTCCACCAATAGCCACAAATGTTCCACCAAAAACGACGAATGTTTCACCAAAAAACGATGAATGTTTCACCAATAACGACTAATGTTCCACCAATAACGACTAATGTTCCACCAATAGCGACTAATGTTCCATCAATAAACGACGAATATTCCCCAAGAGCGACGAATGTTCCACCAATAGCCACAAATGTTCCACCAATAAACGACGAATGTTTCACCAAAAAACGATGAATGTTTCACCAATAACGACTAATGTTCCACCAATAACGACTAATGTTCCACCAATAGCGACTAATGTTCCACCAATAAACGACGAATATTCCCCAAGAGCGACGAATGTTCCACCAATAGCCACAAATGTTCCACCAATAAACGACGAATGTTTCACCATTAGCGAGGGATACTCCATCAATAAAATGGTTACCTTTGACGGTGAATCTTAAAACAATAATTGAACGAGTCTTTCAGCAACGCTCTTGAGATATGGCTGAACAACAAAAAAAATCCGTTCACAAAATAACTTTCAAATGTTCAGCCTTTATGTTCTAATACTCATGTTCACCAAGTTACGCCGTCGCAGCTCAACAGTTTGAGAACCTCTTACTTTCCGTCAAACCTCACGTCGTAAAAATGGGCTCCTGTATACAGACACGCAATTCTCTCCAATAGTAATTTTTTTTTTTTAAAAGACAGGAGACAGTCGGTTTCTCGAGTTGAGACAGACGACGTTAATACCACTGACTGAACGGTTCCAACACAATAGGCAGACGACCGCTCTAATACCACCCCCCAAAAAAAAAACAACACACACACACACTTGTTCACCTACCCTCACCATCAAAGACCTTTAACAGGCACTGTGATAATTATTATTATTATTATCACTGCGTCCGTATGAATAAAATGTTATGATCTAATTCAGGCCTGCATAACATACGGACCGCGGGCCGCATGTGGCCCGCCAGCACCCACTTTGTGACCCGCGAGGTATCGAAAAACTCATTATTCTTTTATTTTCTCAATAACTTTCCCCCTGACCTATATTTTTTTTGGCCCGCGCACGTTTTTCATAATGCATTACGGCCCGCCTTACATTCTGAGTTGTGCAGGCCTGATCTAATCCCATCGAACCTAGTTGGGTTCATGGGGAAGTAAAGAAGTCGGGACTGGGCTTATGTTCATTATAACTATTAACAAAGTGGGATTGGGCCGCTGTAGGGCAGAGTTCCCAAAAGGGTGGTCCGGCGGGCCGGCACCGGTGTGTTGGCCTTACGTTGTCGGTCCACATAATATGAACCTTTTTGTTTCAATAAAAAGGCAGTGTTATTAATCAATCTGGCACCGGTCCCTGGTTGAACAGCTAAACTTGTCGACCGGTCCGACAAACTTAAACAATTGGGAACCGCTGCCGTAGGAGATCTTGTAACTTTACGTCGACGGGAGAGCCCCACTCAATGGCTACATTGCGTCATAGACTAATGTTCACGGGCGACCAATCAAAATATTGAACTGTGGAAGTGAATCACGCACATGTCCCGTTCATCCTGCTGCCACATTTTGGCCTGAGCCAACGGGAGGGAATGTCCGTTTTAACAGCTGGGATTGAGCGCATGAGAAGACAATGAAGGGGAAGGGTTAATGACCGGGGGGGAGGGGGGGGGTTAAGGGTGGTGAGTAATTCGCCTTTCAAAATAGAAAGTTGAGATCAGCAGTATTCTTTGACACTCCAATATCACAAGACAATATTAGTTAATATTGAAATATAAATGTATAATGTATTAAATAAACACCATTTAACAAACATTACTCCCCCCCCATCCCCCCCCCAATCCCCCCCCCATTTCCCTTTCAACCTCATTTTGAATAGAGTTCCCTACAACAAGGCGTTACAAGAAATTTTGTAAGTTGTGTTAGGATGCATGTGGTTTCCTGTATGCGTGAAACAGAATTTGCGTGTTTTGGGGGTGGGGGGTGGGGGGTATGGGCGCAGAACCTTCTCAAGGCATGGGCACACTGGGCAGTTGCCCAGGGCCNGGGGGGGGGGGGGGGGGGGGGGGGGGGGGGGGGGGGGGGGGGGGGGGGGGGGAGGGGGGGGGAAGGAGAGGGGAGGTGCACTCATCAAGAGGTGTTTGAGAGTAAAGTGGACCGAAAGCAGTGTTCTGGACGTCCGTAGAGAATTTTAAGCCCTCTCTGATCTTGTTGGTCAGCTGCGTTATGACCAGGGGGAAAAAATGTATGTGGTGCGGGGTGGGGAGGGGGTGGGGAGGGGGTGGACAAATTCTAATTTGGTCATTTTGGAGGAAAGCCACATCTTTTTATTTGACGATTGTCAAACAGAGAATATCACACTCGGTCGCGTAGCTAGGCTCAGTGGGTTAGATTTATGTCATCCTCGCCACACGAACAAGCCATGTAGGTGGCACCACCCAGGGCGACCCCCACCCCCCCACCGCCACCCGACCCCCTCCAACGCTAGTGATCCCACTGCGTTTCATAAAATGTGAGCTTACCGGATGGGCACTCATATATTTTATTTTTTCTTTCGATTAAGAACTTCACGTCAGAAATCTCAGACTCTACAGTCGATGCCACTTTCTTTTCAAGTCTAAACTCCCTAGTATATTTTAATCCGCAATTGCTAAAGTAATTTTTTTAAAAAAATAAAAAAAAAGAACTTTGTTTTTAACGCACACATATAATGTCAGGGTGCCAGGCGGTGTCAAGTGTGATTTTTTTCCCTATATATTTATACATAAAGGAGACGAAAGGCACATTTTGGTCATAAATCGTCTTACTTGAACTCGGCTCAAAGTCTAGTCTGCCCTCAATACGTTCAGATAAAAGTAGGCGCACCAAATACAATTAAACAGTGTCAAGGCCCCCCGAAAGCCTTTTAAATGGGAGCACACACACGCACGCACACACACAAACACCACCAGAACCCCTGCAAGAAGCCAAATGCACCCCTCTCTAACCCGACCCTGCTGTTAGAACGTGGCAGCGCCGTAACCCTGAACAGATTGTGGTGGGAGTGGTCAGTCGCCCGTTCGGGCACATCTGCTTAATGAGCGCGGCA